CTTCCCCAGCTCAGCTGTGAGCCTCTCATTCATCTTCATCTCTGTCTGAAGTTTACCAGAAATCTCCAGGTTTGCCTCCTGTAGGTCCACCAACTCCAGATGTAGAGTCTGTAGCTGCTTTTGCTGGAGATGATGGTCATTTCTTAGAGACACTTTCTCTCTGGTTTCTTTTTCCAGCTCCACACTCAGTGACTCGTTCCTGGTGGACAAACAGTTCCTGTCTTTAGTTATAGACGTGTTCTCTTTTGAGAGCGACTCGTTTTCTGTTATAAGAGCTTCATTTTCCTTAGACAGAAAGTCATTTTCTTTAGAAAGAAACTCGTTCTTCTTCACCTCTTTCTGCACCTGTCCAGAAAGTTCTAGGTTAGCATCTTTCAGGATGTCCAGCTCCAGACACAGAGCCTCCAGCTTCTGCTGATGGTCATGTTTCAGAGACTGTTTCTCTGTTGCTTCTGCCTCAAGGTTAGCAGCAAGTTCCCTGATCAGAAGATCTTGACGTTCTACTGTTTGCTCCATCAGGTGGACGTTGGCCTCTAAAGTACCAACACCACTGTCCAGGTCGTCCACCAGCTGCAGCCACACCTTGGTTTTTTCATCCTCTGTCTCGTCTTTTGGATTCATCTTTGTCTCCTTGTCTTCCAAAAATGTTGCCTAAGGTTCTTATTAATTGGCAGATTTTTCTGAGGTTCTCTCTACACCTGCACTGTGTTTTGTTCATAACTCCTATAAGGGACCTTCCCTACTTTGATCAACATCATGGCTTTCATCTGTGAGATAGCCTATGGCTTTGATCCGTGAGGAAAACCAAGGAGTGATGTCACATCTTTGATTGCCTGCTGAAGAGAGCTTCACAGGCTAGATGAAGATCAGAGACTAGGAGAACAAAGGTGACATCAGAAGAACTTAGACCTGGAGCATTTCATTGAGAAGAGGAAGTGGTGAACATTCATTGGGTTTCCCTCTGAGCTAGCCTGGTTAAAGTGCAACTTTTTAAATCAAAACCACAACACGTCACCAGATGAAAAACTCAAAAGAACTGCAGCGGAAAATCTATGCAAGCAGAGGTCCGCAACCACTGGGCCCAGGACCAGTACTGGGCCATGGACCGTTGGTCAGCTTGAAAATAAAAGAAAGTTCAATTTACATAAAACATTGATCACAAACAAGTTGGTGTCAGAGTAGAAGATACAGAGAACAGGGAGAGATGGAAATCAATGATTTGCTGTGGCAACCCCTGGGAAAAAAAGGGACAAAGCCGAAAGAAAAAGAACAAGACTGATTGATCATAAAAGTGTCACCTGACACTGGAGAAGGTGTGTTGTTCACTGTTGAGGTCACGCTCATGACCTTTAGATTTAATGAAAGCCCTGACCTCAAACTTCAGATCAAGAGGTAAACGTCTGCCGAAGCTGTTACTGCCTGGACCTGAAGGCAGCACCAGGAACTATGTTGTCAATAAGAGCAGCAGCAACCAAATAGGTGTTTTCACAGTGGCCAGTATGAGAAAATGGAGGGACCCTCACGGCCCCCGAAAGTCACACTTCACTTCACCCCAGTTTTCTGTCCCACTGTGTGTTTGTCTAAAAGTTGTCCAAAAAAACCCCAAACCTCCTCAGGGCAGGACTCAGCTGTTCATCTACATCTGGAGGACAAAGGACACACTTTTGTGCATGAGGACTTGTAGCATGTTCGTGTTTAGGATTTTTTGGGGCCGTGTTGACGTTCTTGTGCGATTCTCTTTCAGGTAGTGTCTCGCAGAGCAGACATGGCCATTGGTTCTCTCACCATCAATGAGGAGAGGTCAGAGGTGGTGGAGTTCTCCGTGCCTTTTGTGGAGACTGGGATTAGCGTCATGGTTTCTCGCAGCAATGGAACGGTTTCTCCCTCAGCTTTCCTCGGTGAGTCACATGCTTCTGTCCTGTGCTTGCTAGTGTGTAGTCAATGGCACCACCTGGGATGGTTTAGAAAAAAACAGTAACATCAGATCACTTCAGCTCCTGAAATACAATTGTCCAGAATGTTTGGTGTGTCGTTGCCTGGCCCTGTAGAACTTTCTCTTTCTGTTTTTTGGTTTTCAGAACCTTACAGCCCAGCTGTGTGGGTGATGATGTTTGTCATGTGTCTGTCTGTGGTCGCCGTCACTGTCTTCATCTTCGAGTTCTTCAGTCCGGTTGGATACAACCGCAGCCTGCAGAGCGCCAAGAGTAAGAACCCAAGTCAGCTCTGTGGAGTCAGGACCAGGACCACATGGCCCAGATGATCAAATGTTCTGTGTCTGCTCATACACTCTGACTAAAGTGAACCATTCTCACCCCACAGGATCAGGTGGATCTAAGTTCACCATAGGGAAGTCGGTCTGGCTGCTCTGGGCTCTGGTCTTTAACAATTCAGTACCAGTGGAAAATCCCAGAGGAACCACCAGTAAGATCATGGTAAGATCATGTGACCATCAATGAGCTTTCTAGGAATTCAGAGTAAAAAAGTTCTCACACCCTACGTATTGTCCCAACTCCTGTGGTATAACGGGTTAAACAGTGGTCCCTCTGATGTCCCCCCCCTGACCCCGGGAGTAGAGGTCAGATAGTTATTTTATTATTTATGTATATATTAACCCTTTACCAACTGTTTTCACCCCCCCGCTGTTCCACCCCCCCGCTGTTATCAGTTATCACCCTCCACTGTTATCACCCTCCACTGTTATATCACAGTACAGTTGTAGAATGAAATATAAGACAAACATACAGTATGATGTCAATAAACTAAAAATACACGACTTTGAAAAACAAGTCAAAATGATTCTAATTATACATTAAAATTCAATGATCATTCACATCAAAAGGTAAATTAGTTATTTTAATTATGAACAAGAAAACAGATACAAGAGTTGATATTCTAGGATGATGATGATTATTAGGAAGATGATGAAGAAGATGATGATGAGGATGATGATGAAGATGAAGATGATATTGAAGATGATGATGATGATGATTAGGAAAATGATGAAGATGATGATGATGATGATGAAGATGATGATGATGATGAAGATGATAATGAAGATGATGATGGAGATGAAGATGATGATGATGGAGATGATGATGAAGATGATAATCGTCAAGATCTCGCTCCAGATCAACATGATGTCTTGGTCCTGGTCATGTTCATCCTGCAGGGGTTGCTGTAGAACGCAGACATCACTGCTAAGTTTAGACCATAAGTGTCAAACTCAAGGCCCGGGGGCCAAATGTGGCCCACCAAGCCATTTTGTGTGGCCCATGAGAGCTTAAAAAACATTAAGTGAAGTCCATGCAGCTGAGTTTCTTTACCTAAGTAAATACATGTTTTTATAAGCAATCAAATAATAATCAATTGCAGAAACATGTATTAGTCTGTTACGGAGTAGTTACATCTATACCGGTGGTCCCCAATCTTTTTTGTTCCAAGGACTGGTCAGGCAGTACCAACCGTTACTACTAAGCCTCAAAGGATCATTCAATTTTCAAAATAAAACATCTTTTAGACTCTAGTCTGTTAGTATCAGAGTCTGAATGACCTGCTATTTTAAAATTAGATTTTATAATTATGTTTTGCCAGATTATCTTTAAATAAAGAAAAAAATGGATATGGCTGAATTTTTTTTTTGAATGAAGTAAATTACTAAAAATTGAGTACATTTTTTTCACTGTCCCACTGCAGCCCGGTACCAAATGACCTGTGAACCGGTACTGGTCCACGGACCGGGGCTTGGTGACCTGATCTATACAATCTTCCGGTTACAACCGGCCCTTCAAGGGGAACTGTATTGCTGATGTGGCCCTGGGTTTAGACTCAGGCCAAAATACCACACCTTTACAGAGAGGGTGACTACCCCTGCTGGTGGATTTTGGAGTGCTATTTTAATGCTTTAATGCTAAGTAGAGTAAATTTCCCAACCCAAATCTCATTTACCCATACGTACTGTTTTTTTTTTTTTTGGGGGGGGGGGGGTATTACCCTATTTTTTTTGTTATTAGGCTAGAAAATTAATTTTCCCGAAAATATTGGAAATTTAAAAGAAGCGAGAATTTTGCGAGATTGGATTAAAAAAATGAGCGATGTACTAAGGGAGTGAAATTGAGAACCACTATATAGAGAGGGAACACTGTGCCTCTGGACAGGGACTCGTACTAAAGCACACAGACTATGTGATCTGTGGTCTTCAGTGGGTAGCTGTCTGACCTTATGTTGGTTGGAGAATGTGACTCCATGTTTTCTCTGGGTCAGGTACTAGTCTGGGCCTTCTTCGCTGTCATCTTCCTGGCCTCGTACACTGCTAACCTGGCTGCCTTCATGATCCAGGAGGAGTACATCGACACAGTGTCAGGACTTTCAGACAAGAAGGTACGGACGGATGGATGGATTCTGCTCCATCACTGAGTTGTAATGTGTTGCTCTGTGACTTCACTCTTTCAGATGCTTTGTTCAGTTTTATGTCACTGTTACAAAGTGACTACAGAAAGACAACAGTGGAACGTCAACCTCTGAAATCACAGTTTTTCTCTTTGAACTTTGGTCTATGTTCCTCTAGTTCCAGCAACCGACTGAACAGTACCCACCATTGCGCTTTGGTACGGTGCCAAACGGCAGCACTGAGGAGAACATCCGCTCCAACTATCCCAACATGCACCAGTATATGATCCGCAACAACCAAAAAGGTGTTGAAGAGGCCATCGACAACCTCAAGACTGGGTGAGGAGGGGGGACAGGGTGGAGGAGAAAAATTGTTGTCCTGAAATAATCCTTATTATCCTTTTTACAGCTGAGGTAAATTGTAAATTAATTTATGTTTGAGCTTTGTTTGAGTGTGTCAAATGAAGACAGAAGAAGAAGATTTGGATTTTTAAAATAACACTTGGTGTAAAATACACGTCTATAATCAAGAACTAATCAACAAATTGATTTAGGAACTGTACAAATTTCAGTTGGTTTCCAGTCACCTTGACAACGGCTCCTCATGAGTGCTCTCTGTTGTTCAAATATGTCAATGTGTACCACCTAACGACCATGTGTATCCTTCTCCACACGTCAACCAGGTCATGAGACGAGATCAACCGCCTCAAGGCATGCTGGGATACAGGTCTAAACATTCATTGACTGCACAACAAATAAATCCTCTTCCATGTTATCACTGTGTCAAACTTGTCAGAGAAGAGTTTCCTCTGCACCGTAAATGTTGATAAAAAAACCCACAGTGAAATGAGCCCTAACCAACAGACACCTCCCCTCCACAACAGGTTTGACCTCTACAGAGGTTGGAGTAAAACTTTGTGAAAAAAGGAAATCCTAAGCCCCAACTTCAGGAGGAGCTGTGACTTAAGACCAGGTCTCCTCTCCAGTCTGCCTGGTTCTTAAGATCAAAGTGTAAAAATAGAATGTCAATGTGCGTCTCGTATGTAACCGTCCTTTCCCTTTATTCTCTGACACCACTGATGTTCAGGCTTCCTAATCTAAAGGAACTCACATAAAAAAAACCCAGACCAAATGTTTATCCATCATTACAAAGTAAGTGTTTTCTGACTCTTATCTCCGTTTTTATCAGTCTAAAAACCTCCTGGTCTGTCAAGCTGAGTTAGAAAATCCCTGCAGATCTGGGAAACGCTGCTTTACCTTTTCACTCCTTTAGTTTGTTGTAAAAAAGCCTTGAACATCAGCCTGCAGTGAGAGAGACAGACAGACAGACAGACAGACAGACAGAAAGAGAGAGGTCACTGTCATCTGACACACAGCCCTCACTGTAGCAGAAGAAGAAGAGTAGCTGCAGTGCAGAGAACACATCCTCACTGTCAGCACTGACTGACACTCAGGCGACTTGTCACAGCGACAGGTGGCGTGTTTACGAGTCTCCTGCAGGGACTTACAGTGACAAAGTGCAGCATTAAAATCAACAACGTTGCTTCTTGTTGTTACAGAGGAGGAAGGAGAGGAGCAGGAGATGGCTTTAATGAGATGATCTAAAAAAATAAAAAAGGAAAACTCAAGCATGATGCTTTTTCACTGTCCACTCCCATTCTTCCTGCATCGGTGTCTAAACTTTGGTCTTCAGTTCACTTTGACCACATTCTCCCACACCAAACCTTATAGAGAAAACCAGTGATTTTGGTTCAGACCAAACCTCAGATAAAATCAGTGATTTTAAGAACTATCATCCGGTTTTACTTTCATTCCTCACTAAGATTGTCGAAAGGGCGGTCTTCAAGGAAGTCATAGAACAACTCTGCAAAAACAACCTTCTTGATTCCGAAGCGGCCACTCCACAGAAACATCTAATTGTCGTCCATACTGATCCTGCTTCACCTGTCAGTCAATTACTGTGTCCATACTCTCTGTTATGGGCCACGCTGGAATGTCATGCGGCCCATACCTGTCTGCATCAAATTCAAATCACTAAGTGGTTTCACAGTGTTGTGGTTATCACTCCAGCTTACACACAGCCTCACATGCAGAAGGTCCTGCGTTCAAGCCCTAGAGGAACCGGATTGGTCCATGCTGGTGGAATGACCTACTGAAAACCACCAGAACACGAGGGTCCCTTCTCTATTTTCAAAAAGTTCTTGAAGACCCAAGTCTTTAGAGATCACCTCCTGCCTTAGCCCTTCTCTGTACTTCTCTTTTCCCTGCATTGGTCTCCACCTTAATAAAAACTCTCCTTTCAAGAGTTCCTCTCTGCAGCCTGAGTGTTAATCCTCTGTTTTGGATTAAAGCCTCTGCTAAATGGATGAATGTAAATGATCTTGGCTTAGAGACCAAAGTCCACAGATAACCACAGCTGTGGTTAAAACATGTCTGATGCCTACTTGAAACAGAAACTCCAGATGTTTTGGTGTTTGGACAGTTGATGAGCAGCAGTAGCAGCAGCATCACTCCCTGCTTCTACTCCTATTAACATTTGACCCCCCCCCCCCCCCCCCCCCCCCCCCCCCCCAAAAAATACTCTTCTTTTTTTTTTGTGCTCGTTTTTT